GAGGCAATGTGAAAGTACCAGATTTAACGTCACCAGCCGAGCCATTATCAACGCTCTTATCAGGTCAAGCAAATCAATCGAAACATTTTTTGGCGAATATACGCCGGTACAATTCGTGTTTCCAAATGACTTCATTCGGTTTTACACGTATCGTGAACGAGAATTACATGCCAAGATTCAAAGTGCAAGGCCATATTTATCATCATGCAGGATCACTTCTTCCATTGCCTGGCACAGATCATGAATTTTTCCAGATTTATTTCTTGAGTAACACAAATGGTCAAGTCAATCAACGTTGTCAGTTAAACAATGGCACTAAGCGAGAAATTGTTACCTCACTACAAAATTTTTTCGATCAACATAATCAGTTAATTAGGCTGTTTAGAACTGCCTTTACAAAATGCCATCCGATAATTACAAAGCTGTTATTAGAGGCGACAAAACACCTGCAGGCCACCACAAAGGCAAATACAATGCACCAACATTGTACGAGATGACTATTGTTATAATTGGTGAAGAATGTACCTCCCGCGATATAGTTCTTTATCGCAAAAATGGTGACTTTCAAAGAGTCTCAGAAACGTATCGATCCTATGATGCATTGCAATATCCTGTTTTATTTTGGCAAGGAGAGGATGGATATCATTTTAATAGAAAATTGAGAAATCCACAAACTGGAGAGAAAACCAACAAGAAAGTTAGTGCCATGAATTTTTATGCATATAGATTAATGATTCGCCAAAACGCTGATAATCACATCTTAAAATGTCGACAATTAATTCATCAATACATTGTCGATATGTATGCGAAAATTGAAAACGAACGCCTACTGTATATTAAATTAAATCAACCAAATTACGCTCAAAAGAATACATTTATTTACGGGATGCAATAATTAATGATGGTAAAGCTAATCCTAATGATGTGGGGAAAATGATTATACTACCGGCTGCATTGACAGGGAGTCCAAGGCACATGTATGAATATTCACAGGATGCCATGAAATATGTTAGCGCATGTGGGCGCATTCAGCACTTAAATTACCTTTAAATATGCAATTCTCTGAAACACCTACATGCAATATCAAAAAAATTCTGTAAAATTCTGTCTTCTGTAAAATACACTCTATAACAAAAAATCGACGCACCAAGGAGGAGTTGTCCGATTGAAACGAAAATTGGTGGATAGAAAGACAATGTACAGAATAGTAGATGATTAAAATTTCAGAACAATTTAATAATTTATTGCAGAGTTACAGTAACAAGTTCAATAAGGTGTTGACTCGCCTCTAGCCTGGATACAAGCTGCCACACGGCGTGGCATAGACCGATAAAGCTCCCGGATGGTCTCTTGCGGTATTTCCTGCCAAATTCGATCCAATTGTCGAACGAGGTCATCAACATTCCGTGCCAGATGCAATTACCTTTCCATCATATCCCAGACATGCTCGATGGGAGAGAGATCTGGTGATCTGGCAGGCCAAGGAAGAGTTTGACAAGCTTGCAGACAGTTCATAGCAACACGTGTCGCATGTGGTCTGGCATTGTCCTACTGAAAAACCAGCCCAGGGAGCTGCAACAAGAACGGTAGCAAAACAGGTCTTAGAATGTCGCCGACGTACCGCTGTGCAGTAAGTTTACCTTTAATGAGGACCAAAGGGGTCCGGCTGTCGAAGGAAATGGCACCCCAAACCATAATGCCTTGTTGAGGGCTGGTGTGGCGTGCAATAGTGAAGGCAGGATCCCCCCTCTGCCCTGTGCGTCTCCAAACACGTCTTCGATGATCGTCAGGACACAGTTGGAAGCGGGATTCGTCGCTGAGGACTATACGTCCCCAGTCAGCATCATTCCAGACATATCTGTTCAAAACATTCATTCATACAAAATTTCAAAGCAATCGGATGACTGCTTCTTGGTGCGTCGATTTTTTTGTTACAGAGTGTACTACAATCATGCCAACTTAAAATTTGGGATGAATGCACTATGGCGCACAGAAAGGAATTAGAAGCGCTTCATCATACACTAAGATTTGAGAGAAAATGAACAACTTTTCGGCGGCGCACTAATTTTATTGTCTGGTGATTTCCGGCAAACTCTACCAGTAATTCCACGTTCAATTCCTGCTGATGAACTTCATGCGCGTCTCAAATCATCAGCGTTGTGGCAAGATGTACAAAAATTACACTCAAAGATCAATATGCGTGTTCAACTACAGCATGATGCATCAGCCGAACGTTTTGCAAAGCAATTGTTGGATATTGGTAATGGAATGATAACAATAGATATATTCACCCAATGCATTACACTGCCAACAGACTTCTGTAAAATTATTTCAACCGTAGATGAACTTTTTCACAACCTTTTTCCAAATATCGCTCAAAATTACAAAAATCTTCAGTGGCTCAGTGAACGTGCTATATTAACAGCAAAAAATAGCGATGTACATGACATCTATAATCACATTCTAAATGAAATTCCAGGTTATGCAAGAACATATAAATCCATCGATACTGTAATAGATCAAAACGAGGTTGTAAACTACCCAACCGAATATTTGAATTCACTTGATTTGCCAAGTATGACGCAGCACGTTTTAACATTGAAAACGGGAGTACCTATCATTCTCCTCCAAAACATCAACCCACTTAGACTTTGTAATGGTACGCGTCTTTCAGTGAAAAGAATAATGACCAATATCCTCGAAGCTAAAATTCCAAATGACAAATTTAAAGCAGAAGATGTTCTGCTACCGCGTATTCCAATGACCCGCCCCCCCCCCTGATATGCCATTTGAATTTAAACGTTTGCAGTTTCCAGTGCTGGGTGACTCTGCTCCTCCGCCGTGGCTTCTCCACAGGTGCCCACTGGGTAAAGAAAAGAGAGCTAGCAGTTCTGGCACTTTCTGTGACCAATGGACAATAGTTCCAAGTGCCCACCATTAAAAAAAAGTTTCCGGTGCGACTTGCTTTTGCCATGACCATCAACAAAGCTCAAGGGCAGTCACTACAAGTATGTGGCCTGAATTTGAAAAATCCATGCTTCTCCCACGGACAGCTCTATGTGGCCTGCTCACGTGTCGGAAGGCCTTCTAATTTATTCGTGTACACTCCAAACGGTAATACAAAAAACATTGCTTATTCAAAAGCACTTGAATAAACCTGATTATATCGAGCCGGGAAATTGCCAAATGCTTTTCACCAATTAAGTACATCTCTGACCACAATTAAATACAAAATCTGAAACATCTGAGCAACAGCAAGCAAAACTGGTTATCGATCAACTGCACACCTCTCAAGCCCATTCCTCTGAAACATCTGAGCAACGGCAAGCAAGAAAAGTTAACCATTTAAAATACATTGCTTAAGCCCGTTTATCTGAAACATCAAATCAATGGGAAGTAAGAATAGAAAACGATAGAAAACTTACTTCTTTATTCAAACGCCGATCGTNATTTAACGTCGCCAACTGACTCATTATCAACGTTGTTATCGGGTCACGCAAATCAATTGAAACTTTTCTTGGAGAATATATGGCGGTATATTCGTGTTTCCAAATGACTTCATTCGGTGCTACAAGTATCGGTGTGCATATGGGCAGCCAGAGTTATTTATTACATTCACATGCAATCCTGCTTAAGCTGAAATTAAAGAGCTTTTGTAATCTAGGCAAACATTAACTGATCTTCATGATATTACCGCACGTGAGTTAGAACAAATATTAAGCTCTATACTTGGTTTCATTGTAAAGCGTCATGTTTTTGGAGAGACACGGTGTTTGAGGTATTCTACTGAATGGCAAAATGGAGGATTGCCAGCTTATTGAAAAAGTCACGCCATGCCGAATAAGTCAGCTCATATCAGCAGAAATACCTGATGCCGCTATTGATCCAGTCTTATTTATGACCATCATTCAAAATATGTTTCATGGTCCGTGTGCATCACCATACATATCTATTTGAAAATGCACTAACGATATCCTAGAGAATTAACTGCTTTGACTATCATCTGTTTTTTTACCATTAAATAAAATTTTCATTTCAAATCATAATCGCAAATCTCATTTAAACACTTAAATACATAAATTAAAATTCAAACTGAAAGCGTTGCAACGCACGCAAAAGATAGCTAGCAAAAGATAATAAAAGATTTCAATAAATAGTTTTTCAATAAAATGTTGTTTTTTTTTTAATTTGTAATTTTTATGCCGTTCATACATGCAGTTTTTCACTTGGGGATCCGTGGGCAAGTTTTGACTATAAAAAGGGATCCATGGGTCAAAAAAGTTTAAATCAATATTTATTATACACGAACATTAGGTTAATTTCATTAATTTTGCTTAATTGCTCGCAACGTCATTCTTACTTTTATTGATTTGTTGTTACATTACTATACAGTTCTCTTATATATCATTTATATTAAATGATTAATATGCTAATGCAAAAATATTCCGAAATATAATATTTGTTAGTTAAAAATGAAACTTGAATTGAAACAAGAAAAATCCAAAATATAACAAGGCGTCTAAATCCTCGAAAATTCAGGAAGGTGCTTTTGTTGCCAAAAATATCTCTAAAATCGCCACGAAGTTAGTGAAGGGTCTAACTGTCAAGCAGAGCCTACACCTCTTAGAAAAGAGAAGCACCACAGATCAATTTAGTAGTTTGACGTAAAAAACATAAACTGCGCATTGCAATAAATAAGAAAGATGCCATTACGTTTGGACTATTAAAGGATCGAATTTCTTGTTTGAGGTAACCCGCCCAAAGGTCTTCTTCTCTTTAGGAAATATCGGAAGATCACCTTTCTTTTGCCTGTTAATTGTTATGGGGTGCTGTTAAAATACTTTAAAATCTGAAAGGTGGAATTTTGAAAATAGTACGGCAAAAAATACGGATAGATTCATTATTTTCAGACAAAAAATATTCAAGAAATAGACATTTCAATCTAACGGACATTTCTTATGTTGTACAATATTACAGTAGATCAGATGAATCTTTTTTACCTTCCGAAAAGCTGCGATAAATGCAGTGTAGCCACCCATACTATGTCCAAATAATACAGCTTTATTAGCTTTAATAATATTCATAAAATGAAACAGATCAGCGACGTTTAAGGAGAAGCTAAAATCATCAGTATATTCACTGTCACCATAGTTTCTGGCATCATATGCATAGACCTAAAAAAATATGTACAATACTATAAATAAAGATATTAAAAAATATTTCAGTAATTTCGGTGTTCTGATCACACAAAGAGTTTAATTTCATATAAATACATTTTAAATAGACTGTTTTTATTACGATTGTTTGTAAATTTCTGAAACGTGGTAAATGTATCAGGAATAGATAGACAAGGAAATTTCGACATGCCATAGTGAAGGTAAACATGGGAGTTTGATCAAGTTTTTGGCTTTCATATTCATGTTTGTGAAAATCAAGAAAAAAAAAATCAAGAGAAAAAAATCAAATGAAGTATCTTTTTTTTTATCAAGTTCTTCATCCTTCTGTCTTTTCATACGTAAACAATAATTGAAATTTGGCATACTATGACTGATGGCGGCATTTATTATTACTGTTTACTTCAACATTCTAATTTAATGTGTTTTTTCTTTATTTTACAAAATGGTTATCAAGGGAGATTAGTACCATCCTCTCAAATTAAAAGTTTCGAGAAATATGCCTGTTAAGATACCCAACAATAAGAAAAAAACTTTAAAAATATTAAGACCAAAGAACAAAGAAAATAAACGAATAATAAGGTTTTTTTCAGGTAGTTCAGTTAACTGATTCAAACTAAATTTGTTTAACAATTTCGGTTGAGATTTGCTGCAAATCATCAGTAAATAGATAGAGTAAATTACGGCCCCTAAGATTTCTTTAGGCTTTTATTAATTACCTTAACGGTCAGCATAACCTTTTTAATTTCTGCGAATAAAAATTTTTCAGAATGAATAAAAAAAAATCTCCCTCGTGTAGGGAGAACTAACCCACCTTTGTACGCTGTCGAAAATTACTTCTAAAGGTTTTCACAGTACCTTTGCAACAATTTTTTTTTAAATAAAGTCGTAATCATTCATTTTGTGGATGTTTTACATACTCATTCAATTTATAATCAATAATTTATCCTCAAAAAATAATTAAACTGTTTAAATTTTCTAAAATTTAAAGAAAATTTGAAAAATTCAAACTTTTTAAATCCTTAAGGCTTTTTTATTTTAACATATTTTCAAAAAAAAAAATTTTTCTTAGTGCTTACAATATTTATCTTAACAATTTTGTGCATTCATTTGTTGATATATCAATTAGAATAATTTTTATTGATTATTTTGTAAATGGTAGAAAACAAGGTTAAAAATTCATGTGAGGTATATATAACATGCTGTAAAAAATTTAGTACCTCATAAAATGCTTATTCCATGCGCAATTAAAATAAGTGCATTATACTTAAAATAAAAAGTTTACTTCAAAGCTTCATCTTAAATGGAAAAAATTCCTTAAGGATTTATTTAAAACACAAAATTATCATCTTTGAGAAAAAGCACTTTAATGTCTGTCTGCCAAGCAAGTTTCAGTATTAGAACAATCTAAAATCATTCGTAACTTTCTCAAAAATGTACATAGAGAGAAGATTTTTTCTCAGTGCATTTGAAATAGTTTGAAGTTTTACTATAAGCAATAAAAAAAAGTTCGATGTTTTGATCATTTTTTTGGGTACTGTGTAGAAATTAATAGTAGAAATTAATAGTGAAATCAGTAGAAATTAATAGTGAAAACAGATGACTAACTTTACATGATATTAAATAATGTCAACTTAAAAAATTTATTAAACTAAAGTTAAAAAATAAAAAATAAATATAGTTTTAACTTATAGTTCATTATTGTTACAGATCTATTTTTTGCATTAACTACATCAAAATTGTTAAAAACAATTACTCGTGTTTAATGTATTAATATCAATAGTAAAGAGATTTATAAAATTAAAAAAATGTGATCACCGAAAGGCTATCACAGGTTAACCATTGGCAAAATTGCTATGTATAATTTTTTTTACTTTCTTTATTTGTGATATTCACTTGAATTAATAATATTGAAAACGATCCATTTTGAACTGTAGGGTAGAATTTCTGATTCTTAATTAAAACAATAAAAACAAAATTATCGTTCAATGATGAAATTCTCTTTCATTCACAACTCAAGAAGTATTTACGGAGATCTTTCTGGTCCCATATCTCAAATATAAACTCACCAACTGTGCACGTTAATGGTGCACGTTAAATCTGTCGAGTCGCAAAAGTCCTCCATGTTCCCATAACAAATCAATAACTCTGGGGGCACTGGAAGGGAGATCGATCGTTCTCTGATTCAGGTCAAAATTACGATCTATGGATGAATGGGTCCGTCCTATAATTGGATGCGACGTATGGTGCGACAGAGTTCGAATTCTTGGCCATAGATGGCGACACTGAAAAACAAGAAACGCACACTCTGCCTTAAAGTTGCTCGGCAAGCTTGCCCGTGTGGCAAGTCGCATTAGAAACAGCAACAACAACAACAGCAGTATCGTGATTTTTATTTCCGCATTATTAAAATCCACCATCTCGATTTTATATTCCGATATCGCGATTTTAGCAAGAACTAAGTTTTCCTTTAAATCAATTTCTATAAAAGTGTGATATTCTTCATTGGTAAATAATTTCATTACAAATCTTAGCTCAAAAAATTATATTAAACATATATAGTAAATAAATTGATATCTTGACACTTAAATTTTCAGTTTTTTTTTTTTACTTGGTGTCACAATCATCCCTGACAATATTTTTTCGTATAGGTGTATTGATATGCACTTTATGATTTTTTGATAGGTGAATTGGTATATATGACTCTAATAACGGAGATCATTTTCTAGTATGTTTATTGATGCATATTGCATGATACTCGTTAACAGATATTTTATTTTCTGGTAGGTATATTTGTACACTGTCAGACCTCGATATTCGAGATTATTTGTGTATTGGTACACACTGTATAACATCAAGCTTAGAATATCTTGCGTACAAGCTTTTACTCTCTCAGGATCCGAGATAGAGGCGATTGGATAATGGTAGACCAAGACTTCGTCAATACCCACCTCTATATGATGTCCATTATTGCCCTCTCGTGAAATCGTATGTTCAATCGTTGAGAGTAATATATGCTGTAAGATCCTACATACATGCTTCAGCTATTGTTAAGTTCTGAGATAGATGTGATTGGAGCATTGTAGACCAAGCCTTCGTCAATCCCCCCTACCAAAATCACAAGAATTCAAAGTTGGAGCTCTAGGAGACCAAGCTGTATCGAAATGATTGCTGTTGATCACCATCTGGTAATGATTGTGGAAACGTTTTTTTTTCCGAATAAAATTGCCATGAATTAATTTTCATAAAATTTTACATGCATACTTTATGAAACGGGCTGCCTATAAATGGCAGTTTTAAGTATGGGCACACTGTGCAGTGAATTTTCTTCTAAAATCAACAAGTTTCAGTGATACGAAAAATGCTCCTATGATACAACATATTTTTTTTAAACAAAAATACTTGTTCGATTCAATTGATTCAACAACAAAAAAATATTCACTTATTCTTACCTTTCTCTTTGTTTTTTCAGCAATAATTGGTGCAAAACGTTTCCATGATTTTCTGTCCGCTGCAAGCCCGTGAATAAGAACTATAGGTGTTAAGTGAGGGTTACTGCCTTCAGTGGATTCATACAAGTCATAAGCTAAGTTAACAGGAACGTAGCTAAGAAAAAAAAGAAAAGAAAGGAGGAAAAAAAAGAAACGAAATGAAATACAAGACATGGAAGTTCAAGAAAGCTCATTTCTTCCCTTTAAGAAGCTTTCTCCCTCTTGATCAAACTAAACTGTCGAATTGGGAGTGAGAAAATTCGAAATATTTTTTAAACCTTATTTAATTTTAATTTTCACAAATTAATTGATGGTAGATGTTTACTCTATCCAACAACAGGTAAAATATGTGACTCCAATCTCAATTTGAGATATAAGGCATGTAGAATTTTAGGTTCTCTATTTATTTTTTTCCCTGATAAAATTATCCCTTTGCATTTGTACAGTGAGTCTTTCTTAAAAGGTAGTTTAACATTATGAATTCTCTTAGTTTATATTTTTGATAAAATTTCTTTGTTTTCACATAATTTACGCTAAATCGTTTTTCATTATTCATTAGTTTAATTTGTTTAGTCCCATTAGTTGAAATTAAAAGTAAAAAAATATCCAAAGATAGACTAACATGTTATTTTAAACTATGCACTTAAAATCATAAATTGCATAATTTTATATATATGTATATATATAAATTCTGAAGAAATCTAGGCTCTTTTAGAGAGAGAATATGCAGTAGAATCTT